ATATTTACATGCATTTATCCTGAGCTCTCATTTTGAATCACCTGCACTCTGGTTCATTAGGCTTATAGCTCATTAAATAACAACGTGGTATATCCAAACCCGGATTTTCAACAGCTTTTAAAGTCTAAAAATTTAATTAAATGCAAAGACAGAAAAATAGGAAAATATCAAATGGTGCTCAGCTACCAGATGACAATTGGCTGTACTAGCTTTCAAAAATCTATATAAAAGTCCAAAATAGAGAAAAACTGCTTCACAAAAGGGCTTCACCTTCTTCCAGGACAGTGTGAGAAGGGATAATCATGCTGTTCTCCCAGGAAAGAGCAAATTCAGATGATTCATCTACTCCTGTAATTCCCAGAATGACACAGAACATCAATGCCAAGCCTGACAATATGCTGCTGAATGAGTGGTACCAGAGAGAAAGTGACTGTGATAGAAGACAGCATGGCCGGGATAAACAAACAGATGCTGTCAGCCAAATGCTGAACACTGTAAATATACCACAGCAGATGCCCTGATTAAATAAAATGTGAAGTCACAACATTTGTCTGAGTGGTTGGAAAAAATCAACATGCTCTCATGGTCACAGATTCATTAATTTTTAATGAGAATTAAAAATAACTAAAGCTCATTTAAAGAGTAATTTTTCAAAAGTAGGGATTTTCTGTGTCTTGCTTCCAAGTGGATATTATTACCAGCCTTCTCTCCAAGATAGCTTGCATGTCATTGAGAGTAGAACTGTCTCTGAATCTTGTTTTATCAAGGAAGAGAATTCTAAACTCCTGGTAACCATCTTCTCCACCACCCTCCTCTGCCTTGAGAGATGCTGCTTCAAGGGCTCTTCTCCTCAGCTCACTCAGCTCAGCTCTCAGCTCACCCTTCCACAGAGGACAGGCTGTGAAAATGCACAGCCTGCCTTTGTCAGTAAAGGCAGTACAGTCAAATCAGTAAAATCAGTAAAAAAAATCTTCAAATACTCTCTGGCAGGGTTGATACCTGTTGAGAAGCATTAGTGCCAGCATCTTTCTGCCAGAGCTGTCCAGCTCCCACAGCACCACCAGGCAGCCAGGCTGCCCTTTGCAGCAGTGTGAGGCCCATGGCAGCTCAGACACTGCAGCTCTGAAATGATCTGCAGGTTAAACAGAGCTGTGCTGAGTGTGCCTACCCCTGGCTTGTGATTTAGAAAATGAAGGAATGCCAAGTAGAATTTTTACAATAAATACCTTACAACCTCAAGTTCTCTGCGTGATATTCAGTGATTTCTGAAAGGCACAAAAAAGACAAGCAAACCAAAGAAATGTATAGGAGTCCTTGAGCAAACAAGAGGGAAGATGCTTAGCCAGAACAGTATGCTTAAGGTTCTGCTCAGATTTCTCTGAGATCTGGCCCAGAGCTGTGCAACACCCCAAAGCACCACCATTATGGTCTGGAGGAAAAAGAAGTGCTGCTCAGAGAATTTCAGCCCAGAGTGGCAGATTGTGAAGGAGAGAAGGAGTAAGAGGAGCCCTGATGCCAGCAGGATAACTTCCTTTCTTAAACAGCCATGGGGCCTTGCTGCTTTAAGGCACACTGGTAAAAGCCCTCAAAGAAAAGACACCTGAGCAAGGTAAAATAGAATAGAAATAAATGATCCTTGGGTGTTTCACCCATTTGTTCTCTGTGCCATGCTTTTTGGTAAAAGAAATGTTTTTCAAATGGAAGTTACACATGTTGCTGGAAGCATTTGTGACAGATTGGCTTTGAAGGAAAAGCTTTGCTGTCAGGCTAATGCAACCAGAAAGACTAGCAAGACTACAAAGATGCCATCCAGGAGTAGTTTTGCTGAGAGCTTGGTCTTGAACACCAGAGCTGTTCATTGAGGGAGACAGGCTGTAGTGTGGCAGCAGCTGCTCAGGACACAGCTTCCTTGGAGCAAGCTGCTCATGGCTGCCATGGGATAAGATCAGGCCTGCCACAACAGCAGCCAGGCCTTATTAAACCTCTGCTCCTGCTACTCAAGAGGCTTAACAATTTTAGATGCTAGTTGAAGACAAAAAGAAACAGGAGAGTTCCTCTTCCCAGCAGAGGAAACTAAACAAGGTAGAAGACCAAACCAATTAATATAAACTAAATACCTAAAATGTATCTTCCTCAATGCCTCTATTTTTCCATTTGTGCACAGCACCATAAAGATCCCTGCAAACCAGAGAAGACCTTCTTTCTCTGTTCCTCCTTTCTCCTATAACCAATATATTATGCATTTTTCTACAGTTACTTTACTTATGCACAGTCACAGTCTGCTTTTGGGAAGGGTAACTGAACCTGGACAAAAATATGCAATTTGACACTGATACCTGCACCCCCATAGGTTTTCTCCTGTCTAATAAATACAGGTATGAGTGTGTTGATAAGGATTGTTGAAGTGCTGGCTTGAGTTTTTTTCTGGAATGAAAAAAGAAGTTAAACTGAAGCACTTGCTTTTAAATAAGAGAATTTTGAAACAAACTTCCAAGAAAAAAATCTCCTACGTTTTTGCTGCTGCAAATTCCACCACTAAGTTTCTAGGAATGTTTCTAGTTAGGAGCAACTGAGTGACCTTGAGAAAACCTTGCTGGAGTTTCTAACATTCTAGTTTTCATAGGTTGTCTTCTGCAGTTGCCAGGGCGGCTGTTATATGGGAAGGAGAATCATTGAAAAACCTGTGACTGGTATTCGAGGGGCTTAGAGCAAGCCCTGCAACTCCCCAGGCAGATGGTGATTAAAAAAAAAAAAAGAAAGTAAACTGGGCTGATGCTAGAAGTGTGTTTCCATGGTAACAGGAGGTACGGATGCTGCCTCGTACTTGACCGAATGAGAAGCTGGTTCAGGATTAGGATTAGAAAAGAAGTGGCCAGATTCCCACTGCCAGTCAGAGTTTCTTCTACACTCCTAAGTACATAACAGGGCTCTTTAAAGACTGCACTAGCTCTGCATCCATGTGGTGCTGTGAGGATTTAACAAATTTAAAAAGTTGTGTGTGCTTGACTGTAAGTGTATAAAGAGGAGTGTATATCAGAGCACATTTTCTTTAATGATCCATGAAACTTGACTGCATAAATGGGAAATGAATGTCCACCCCTCACTTCTAGACAAGGGCTTACCCCACCCCAATCCAGCTCTTCTAGTTCTCCAAGAGGTGATGTTGAGATCACCAGACAGGAAAATCATGCATTTGATATTGCACAGTAATAAAAAAAAGAAGTAGGATAATTATTTTAAATTGTTAGTCTTTCACTGCCCCAGGAGAATGAATCTAATTGGTTTCTGATAAACATCAATGTTATTTAAATATTACAAAAATCAGAAAATAGATTGTTAGCATAAGTATTTCAAAATACACTTCTTATTTATCTTTAAATATTTGAGATTAGATTTCCCATTCATCTAGTTTTTGTCTAGTTGCAGTTCTCACAAAATCCCTATAAACCTTATATCCTGTTTTTAGGCCCTTTGTTACTCCAGCATATTTGAGGCAATAAACAAAGACCAAAAAAAGGTAGCAAACAATAAAGACAAATTCCTAGAATGGAAACAGAGTTAAATATATACACTTTTGTGGTATATTTATATTTTAAGAGTTGGCAATTTTTGTTGACTTTCAAAATAAACAAGATTTAAAATCCCAGCTACTGAACTGCGGGGAAATAAGGCCCAAACTAAGGGCATGTTGAAAAGTAGATCCTACAGTTTGCTTCTTGTCAAAGCTTGTTGACGCCTATCACAAGCTGAAGCAGTGGCCAGCTATGACCCCTTCAAAAAAACCTTATTAGCAGGGGTTAAAGTTCGCACACCTGCATTGCCAGCACTTTTTAGATACTTTTCTATGCTTTCATAAATATAAGCAAGCAACTTTAGCTCAATGTTTTAAACACCCGTGAGAGGAGATTTTCAGGATTTGTCTTTAAAAGACTGGATGAAAAAAAAAATTTTTCTGTTTCTAGAAACTTCTATGCTTAACCTTAGGCTAAAAAGCATCTGCTTGATCTGGGACTACTCACACCATGTAGGTTAGGCATGAAAGTCTCTGCAGGACAGAGTTGGATTTCTTCCTCTGCATGAAGACAAAACCGGGAAGCATTCACCATGGTTTGTATTTTCAAGCACACCTTGATGCCTGCTCTGCTTCCCAGGGAAGACTAACGCGGTTCAGCGCTGTGCTGGCCTCCCGCGTTTGGGCTAGGCCGGTGTGGCCCCTGAGCAGCCACCCGAGGCTCAGCCAGCCGGGGCGATGTTCCGCAGTGCCTCAGAGGCACCTGCCGGGCCCCGCTCCCGGCGCAGCGGCCCCAGCCTCGGGCAGGTGGTGAGGGCCGGCCGGGCGAGGGGCAGAGCGCCTTCCCGCCGCGGACATGGAGGCTCTCGGGCGCTCTCCAGAGCAGCATCCATTAATGAGGTGTTTAAGGCAGCAGCCGCCAAAACAGCAACACACCGTGCGCGGCTCGGTGCCCCCCGAGAGCTGAGGCGGGGGACTGGCTGCCCCTAGAGCAGGGGAGCTTGCCATCGAGTTCCCCCTTGCCGGGAGCAGGGGTGAGGGGAGCGGCTCTGCCCCAAGCAGGGGGAGTGCCTTTCCATCACCGTCCCCGTCCCCCACGGGGGTGCCCGAGTCCCCCGCCCACCCCCCGGCCGCAGCGCCGCCCGATGCGATGCTCGCGGCGGGGAGGCGGCGGCGCGGGCATTTGCATGGGCTGAAGGCAAAGCGGCTTCGCCCGTCTGTTTTATTTTTAGCTGGCAGCTCAGGACAGCGCAGCGCAGCTCCGCTCCGCCGGCGGGGCGGGCGGGGCGGCAGCCGAGGGAGGACCGAGCCGGCAGGGCGGGCGGGCGGACGGGCACCGGCGGAGAGAGGTTACCGCAGGCGAGCTGCAGCCAGCCGGGCTGCGGAGCGCCGCCGCCCCCGGCTCCCGCCCCGGCGGCTGCGAGCAGGGAGAGGCAGGGACAGACGGGCAGCGGCCTCCGGCGTGCCCTCGCTGCGGCCGCGGCTCGCCCCGGGCAGGAGACTCGGTGCCTGGTTGCTCCCCCGCCGCAGCCGCGGCGCGCCGGGGCCCTGCAGATGGCCAGTCCTGGGCTGGAGCTGGGAGAGGTTCAGCCTCCTGCCGAGCCCCCGCAGCCCGAGCTGGCCTTCACCGAGGCTCAGAAATGGATCGAGGTAAGCCCGCGGGATGGCAGGGGTGCGGGCGCCTGACCCCATCGGGGACGCCCCGCGGGACAACCCGGTGTCCTTCCCTCCCCCCCACGGTCGCTGTCCCCCGGGACTGTGGGCGTTTTATTCCACGCTGATCTCGATCCCGGCCTCCCCGCCGCTCTCCCCAGCTTTCCTCGCTGCGGGGAAAGCAGCCGGGGCCGAGCCAGCCGCCGCTCAGCCCCCGCGCAGGGTGCGCGCCTTTGGATGGACCCCCGCCCCCCTTCCGCCGCTTCCAAACTTAATCTGCTAATCGCATTTCCCCGCCCCGGCGCTGGGATGAACGGACCCGGCTGTAAACACGGGCAGGGCAGGTGCGCCGAGACGCTCTGGAGGGGCGCGGATGCTCCCCCGGCCCCGCGGCTCCCGCCCGGCCCCGCGCCCCGCCGGCTCCCCGCGCCTCGGGCGGCAGCGGCCGCGCAGGGAGCGCTCCGCAGTGCGCGGAGGGGCGGGCCGGCCCCGCTGCCAGCCCGCGGACAGCCCTGCTGCCCCTGCTCCCGTCTCTCGGCCCACCAAGGAGAGAGATTTAGTCTGGCTGTTCACGCAGGGCAGAAAAAATAGATGTGCTGGCTGTTTGCTCGCGCCGTAAAACGGAAAGATGGGCAGGTGGTGGGTCAAATTTAACAGTTAAATATTTTGGCTTGTGCCAATAGAGACGCTGAAAATAGCTCTCCATCTGATTTCCGGTACAGAACATGTGTGAAGGTGGCATAAACCCAGATACCAGGGTAGCTGCTCCCTTCAGTTGTGGGCTTTGAATTTAATCTGTAGTTTTTAGAAAGCCTCAGTGGATTGTCTTTCCTGAAAGTGACTAGGCAAAAGGTTGTAAAAATCCTTGTGACTTTAAGATTCTGTGAAGCCTCGTGAATTTCAGACTGTGATGTTTTAGTCCGGTATCAATTGGAAAAGTAATGCTGTGTCAGTCTTCAGGGAACTGGCCCTGACATGATACGAATCTGGCTGGTGTAGGACCAGAGGCAGAGGAACCATGATGAATGTGAAAAGAAGGGCTTTTGTGCCAAGGAAAGGTGAGCACGCAGCTTGGAAAAGTGAAGTGCACATAAACAACATTTGTCTTGGGAAGATGAATACAGCAGTTTCTCTATAGCCTTCTTTATGACTGAGGACCAAGGGAGAGAGGCACGTGACTCCATCATACATATGCTACAAACATACCTTGTGACCATGAGTCCTGCTGACTGCCAATGAAGCCAAGAACTCAATGGTGAAGCAGTTCTCTGTAGATAACAAAGCTGTCATCAGCCACTCCAGGCATGATAATAATTAAGGGACTATAAATCTTCCTGTATTAGAACAGAACCTTGTGGGTCAGGCAGAAACTTCCCTCTTGGGCAGTTTATTCCACAGTTCACTGTGGCAGGAGGTCTCATGCCTGCTTCTTGTGCTACACAGGCCCTGGTGAGCAGAGCAGGAGAGCTCCTTAAGTTCTTTGTCCTCCATGCAAGTCCAAGAGTTCAGTGTGTACAGGGGAAGCTGTCAATAACTTCTTGTGCTTCCTCCAAATGTTAAAGCATCATCTGCTTGATGCCTGAGTGACAGAACTAATGTACTGTTAATTTTGCAGCCGTCCCCTTGCCTGAGGGGAACGTGTCAGGAGCCTGGAGCACTGCCACAGCTGGGGTGTGAGAGGGAAGCATCTGCCTCTCCAGCAATGCCCAGAGTTGATGCTCCCACTAAGAGAAAGAAGGAAGAAGCTGCCAGTGAAGCAAATGTGGCTTAATTTGCCTAACGCATCGTATTTTCTTTTAATCCCAGTTTGGCTTAAGCTCTGGAGCATGAGGGTTAATACCTCTTCCAAAAATCTGGTCAGCACTTACCCTTCTAAATCTGGATGGTTTGAACTGATTGAATTCTGCAGAACTTGATATGCTAGTGCAAAGTTATTGAAAAACAATGTCACTCTTAAAAAGAAATAAAATTTAAAAAATAGGAAATTATAAGGTATCAACATTCAGTGTGCCAAGCCCTATCAATCTGCATGAAAAGCAGAAATGGGGGTCATGCTGTGTCTGGCTACTAAGTCCATCTGCTTCACCTGGGCTCTGTACTTGTCTCTCACCAGTTTATTCTCTGGCCTAAAGATGTTAGGAAGTGTCCAGTGTCTTGTGTCTTCCAACTCCCCTCTGACCATTTAAAATTAAATCTCCCTCAAATGAAAAGAAAAGAAATTTTTATAATTGCAAGGAGAGCTATTGAACCTGTAGTATGGAGCAAACAAGCTAGTGAGAATGTTAGCAGTATAAGACAGCTTAAAATCTGTCTTAGGCTGTAAAATACTGCCATGCAAGGAAATTAAAGTAGAAATGGAAAGACTGATAACTCTTTCAGCTTACTGTGCATTTTCATTTCTAATGATTAAGTTGTCTGACTTGCTTGTTCGATTCTCATCTGGTTTAAATCCTTGTGTGAGGGCTGTCACTATTGTTGTAGGGCTGCAGAAATCCACTCCGTGGTCTGCAGTACATTTCTTCTGTGGTGGGACTGGAAAAAGAGGCTTCTCCTCCTCTTGCAGATGGGCAGCCAAGACATTAAGTTATGAGTGTTTAGATCTGCAAGGATCAAGAAACTTCTGTTCCATGCTCCAGAGGTCTTAGGGGTCCTGTTTTTACTCCTTGGGTCTGTCACCTTTCGCCAGAGATGGTCTTCTGGGTGCCACAAGCCTTCCTTTTTCTCTGCCAGCATTACTTTAATCTGGATGCTGCAGTGTAGAGTTGTCTAAATTACACTGAAGTTTTGGTGGATACCTTTGGGTAGAAAACCAGGGTTCAGGCTTGCTTAATTTTGCATGAATATCAACTGTGCATCCCCCTTGTAACAGCAAACTGGTCTATTATTTTACTTTAGCTTGGCATGTGCTACTTAAGTGAAGAATGCCCTCCTAATGACAAAATGCACCTTATTAGTAGCACTCAGAGGAATTAAAATAAAGGCACTGAATGAAAAATCCTGTGAGAGAGCTACATCAGTCTGCATTATTAAAGGTGTGGTATCTCATTTCAATTAATGTGTCTCAGTTTCACTGAAAGAATATATCAACCTTGTAAAGCCTAGTGGCATTCTATAGCAAAATAACAAATCTAATTTAATCTAATGGCCTGTAATCTTAAAATATCAAGGTTCTGTGTGTGTGTGTTTAATCTGGAATAGCTGGTGGTTGAAAGAACATCTGTATAAACAGAGTTGTTCTTGCTTTAAAGACTCATAGGAGAATAATACGGTAATAAAGTCACATTTAATACTGGTGTAACTCCTCAGGGTATTGTTATCTCCTCATCGTGCCTCCTAGCCTTGCCTCATTAATATGCTCTCTCCTCACTGCTGAGACTTGGTTCAATTAGGGATGGTTTTTCCATAGATTTGAATTCCTTAGAAACTTTTCTAGCTGATAACAAGACTTCCTTCATAGTTGTATGGCAATAATAAACAGGTTGAGTTTTTCTGTCCATTGTGACCAGTGCTTGACTTTTATCGTTCTCTCTAGATGTGTGTAAGCTAAACCCCATCAACTTCTAATAATCTGCTGCTTTTTCCCTATATAGATTCCCCACAAGAATTCTTGTGTTATGGGGAAATTTGCCAGCCAGAGAAGTTTGTTGGGTGTTTTGTGCCTTCTTTTTGCCTTCTAGCATAAACACCCCTTAGATTTCTGTATTTAAGGTGATGTTTTAAGTTGGTAACAGTGGTACTGCTTCTAGGAGAAGCTGTAGGACTATGTGCATTCCCTAGTGCCTCTGGATGTGCCACAACATACAGAAAAATAGGCAGGCCCCTCCTGCCCTATCTTCTCTATGGAAGAGTATGAGAGGCATAAATTCAGGGAAGTGACTCAGGAAAATAAACTTCATGTGATTTGCTTTAGCCGGGAGTCTAGAAACAAGGTTTCTATAGGGTTTATCTCAACCAGCGAGGAGTTTCCCACCTCAAAAATGTAACTTATAAGGAGTTGAAGGTAATTCATTGAGCAAAATCTTTCCTGATGGTGAAGGAGTTATTTGGAGTATCTGCAGCAGTGTCCTGGAACTTGGGTAATACACAAGTTTGTTCATATGGGCTTCAGAATGCAGTATGGCCTTTGAGGAGCATCAGAGATAAAGCTCTTTTGGTGAAATGTATTGGAGAAGATGACTGATTCACTGAGTGTATGAGCAACCTGTGTCCTGCAGGAGTGTTCCTATTTCCAAACATGTGTAGACATCTACTCTTCTTTGAAGCTGATCCTGGGATCCTTGAATAGGGACACCAGTTCCTTTGGCCACTGACACAGTTCCTAGAACACTGGTGCCTGTAGTCAAACTGAGGCCTTTGGGTGCCCCTACAGTCATGCCATTATTTGGATAGGAATTCATTAAATCCAGCAGACATATTCTCCAGCAAGCATTTCCAGAGACTTCAGTTGAACCACTTTATGAGAGTATTTAAATACAACCATTTAAGCACAGAATGTTGCACCAAGCTCTAAAACGAAATGGTTTTATTAATCAAATATTGTTGAATAGTTATTGAATGAGCCTCCAAGCAGTGTTTGCAGGTCAAATTTCTTAGCCTTTAGCCTTTCTTTCTTTTGAGCTCTTATTCTTCTGCTGGAAGAGTGTCTTACCTATATACTTTATGTAATGTATTGGGAATTAATTTATTATAGTGAGCAAGTGTATTCACTAGAAGAAATGTATGCAAATGTTAGACAAGTAGCCTGATGTGTGGACAAGCTGAAGTATAGACCAGAATAATCCTTCCCATGGTGTTTGTAAGGTAACCGTGAAGAATCAAAAGGTGTGTGGTTGGTATCAGGCCCTAGATGTATGTGAATGCAGGACAGCTTTACTGTGATTACAGTGACTGGACTTGGAGAGGAATTCTTCACTGCTATCTCTGCATCTCCTCCTGGGCAGCGTTTAGGGACTGCAGGCAGGACAGATGGGATGCTCTTCATTCTGGCTCAGTTAGTA